CTTTCGGCCCGCCTCTCAACTATCAATCAACTGTTTACTAACTACTTTTTTTCCACAACACACACACACACACACCCCAGGAAGCAGCCCATGACAGCTGACTAACTCCCAGGTACCTATTTACTGCTAGGTAACAGGGGCATTTAGGGTGAAAGAAACTTTGCCCATTTGTTTCTGCCTGGTATGGGAATCGAACCCTCGCCACAGAATTACGAGTCCTGCGCGCTATCCACCAGGCTACCAGGCCCCCAGGTGTGTGTGTGTATGTGTGTGTGTGTGTGTGTGTGTGTGTGTGTGTGTGTGTGTGTGTGTGTGTGTGTGTGTGTGCGTGTGCGTGTGTGTGTGTGTGTGTATGTGTGTGTGTGTACTCACCTAGTACTCACCTAGTTGTGTTTGCGGGGGTTGAGCTCTGGCTCTTTGGTCCCGCCTCTCAACCGTCAATCAACAGGTGTACAGATTCCTGAGCCTATCGGGCTCTGTCATATCTACACTTGAAACTGTGTATGGAGTCAGCCTCCACCACATCACTGTGTGTGTGTGTGTGTATGTGTGTGTGTGTGTGTGTGGGTTCCCACAATGGTCGAGGACACGCGGCTCAAGATTAAGGTCTGGAGGTCAAGGAAAAGTGGGTGGAGTCTCGCGCTCCGACATTCATCCTTTCGTTCACGTCCACATGTGATACGCATATGCACATGTGTGCACACCTGGCTCCTGCTTCATGCGCACATGTGTGTGTGCTCAAGTGTCAGAACAGAGCAACACATGCACACATACGGATACGGATACTATTCCGTCACATACACACATAATGCAGGTATGATAGGGAGACAGATCAAGAGTCATTGCATTAGACAACCAACGGCTAGAAAAGCGGAGTCCAAGAGCAACAGCTCGATCCTGCAAGCACAAATAGATGAGTACGGATAGGTGAGTCCACAGGTGGATCCCTCGAGGCGATTAGCGGGCCGCCAAAAATTATTCGCGACTGTGATACGCGCAAGAGGCGGTGATAATTGCTGGCTGGAGCAGCTACTGGAAAACCCCCTCGCCGCACTCAGTCGACTGTCTCAGTCATTGCTGCATTGGTGAACTGTCTCACACCCCCGTCCGCCATCACTACAGTCCGTCACTGTATCCTCCTTCCGTCACTGTATTCTCCTTCTGTTACTGTATCCTCCTTTCGTCATTGTATTCTCCTTCCGTGACTGTATTCTACGTCCTTCACTGAATCCTCCGTCCATCACTTTATCATCCATCACTGTATCCTCTGTCCGTCATTTTATCCTCCATCAGTTTTTGGCCTTGATGGATTTGTATGGCAAAATTCGAAAGAACGGGTTGAATTGTCAGGCCACTAAGGAAGTAATTTTAAATTTCACTACAACTCAGGCCAGCTATAAACGCTCGCGGCTGTAACAAGCAATAATATCACATAAGAACCACCTGCTCCTGTAATTCCCCAATAAGAGCTGCTTCGTATGGGTCAATAGGTATTTTACCATTTTCTTAATTCTTATATTCTTATTTAAAACTAAAATGTGTGTGGCCACTGTTCTGCCCTGAGGGGGTTTGGGATTTTAGGACGTCAACCTCCAAAAGAGAGCTCTGGTTAGAGTACCAAACCATTATTTACGTACAGGCGGACAACGTCCCCAACCACTGCCTGACGGAACAAACAACCGACCTCGGCAGCCACACTCCCGCTACCATTGGTCGAGCAGCAATGGACACTGGAGTGCTTGTAATTTCCCTAGGAGATCACCCTGTATGCCTCTTGATCTTGGAGAGGGGTCCAGCATCACATATTTAGGGGTGCGGCTCCAACAGTATCCTGAGATTACTCACTGACGTTTACTCAATTATTTAATATATACATCTTTCCTCTGACCTCTCAATCAGGTCCGGAATGCAGAATAACTCTCACTGGGGTAGACTCGTTCCACCCAGGCTACATGGGGTCATAACACCACCCAGTATATTTGCTTAGCTCTTTCAAGTTAACCGAGAGAATAATTAACTGCATATACCATACATATAAATAAGTTTTTTTTCTGGGTGAAAGTTTGTCACATAGTGTCGCCAGAGTGAACTTTGTCTGTCATGTCTCCGAATGTCAAACGACTTTATCTATTTACTTGAAACTTTGGCATTTAATTAGTGGAACCTTGCGCTGTGTAACCTATTGGTTCTGGTCAGTATCGGTCAGAATGCCAAGGTCAAGGGGCTATACAAGGTCACCGTAACATAGCGAGCTATGTACAGGTTTTTTTTTCCATGTCTTTCTGTTTGACAATCCACGCCTCTAAATATCAAACTCTTTGCATTATTCCAGGGGAAACTTTGGCGTTGTATTCACGAAGGCTTACACTGGAAGATCCATTATCTCTGGTCAAATGTCAAGGTCGGAAGCTCTGACAAGGTCAAGTTGGGAGAGGCGGTCCGCGGCTGCTTGCTTGCCAGCCGGCGGGTCTCACAACTGCACCTCAGAGAGGACAACCTCCTCTCATATTGCAATGTTGACATTATCTACCACAGCGTAAAAAATCTAATGGTTTAGTGAACTTAAGAGCACCGTAAGGTTTACGTGCCTTGGGACTAATGAACATCGGCTTCCTTAGAATTGGTGGGCTATTCATATTGCATTCATATTTGCTGGTCATATCATGAGAGTTGGGCACCATGGAGCATCGTGAGGCACCGTAGGGCATCGTGGGGCATAGTGGGGCACCATAGGGCATCGTGAGGCACCGTAGGGCATCGTGGGGCATAGTGGGGCACTGTAGGGCTTCGTGGGGTATCGTGAGGAACCGCGGGGCACAACGGGAGACAGAGTACCGCCGGAGGGCAGCCTGTGATGTGCATCATATTCACACGCACTCTTCATAACCGCACACTCACGCTCCCTACACACTCACGCTCCCTACACACTCACGCTCCCTACACACTCACACCCCCCTACACACTCACGCTCCCTACACACTCACGCTGCCTACACACTCACGCTCCCTACATACTCACGCTCCCTACACACTCACACCCCCCTACACACTCACGCTCCCTACATACTCACGCTCCCTACACACTCACACCCCCCTACACACTCACGCTCCCTACACACTCACGCTTCCTACACACTCACACTCCCTACACACTCACGCTCCCTACACCCTCACGCTCCCTACACACTCACGCTCCCTACACACTCACACTCCCTACACACTCACGCTCCCTACACCCTCACGCTCCCTACACACTCACGCTCCCTACACACTCACGCTCCCTACACACTCACGCTTCTTAAGAGTTGTGCAAGAGGAGGGAGGAGGGGAGGACTAAGAGAAAACGAGATATAGAGAGGAAGTGGAGAAGAAAGACGAAAGGCCCAGGCAATGCCGGGAACCTCTTAGTGTATATTACATAAATGTGAAGTGCCTGACTATTCGAGGTTGGATGCACGACACTTGGCCTAGCTTCACCCATTTTTTTTTTTCATAAATTGCTGTTGGTTATGTGCCCAACATGGGCGGGTCACGTTTGGTGTCAAAAGAAAGTGACATTGTGCTAACATAACCCCCTCACAAAAATCTCGCAATACTGAATGACTCGATTCTGATTTATAATCAATATTTATTGATTTTTGCAATATCAGAAACTATATGTACTGATAACGTTATAATTATATAACAAATCTAATCACAATACCTTTTAAACCCCCGAAAATCTTAGATAATATATTTTCCCTAAGACTCTACTGATTGCTTATTGAACAACGTGTAAAATGTTCATATAGTGTTATTTGTGATATTGTAGAAGAGAAAGGGGAGAGAGAGGTGGATAAGGAGGAAGAGGGAGAAGGAGAGAAGAGAATGGGAGGAAAGGCGAAAGAAAAGTAGGTAGGGGAAATGAGGAGGAGGGGGGGCTTGGGGATAGGGAATGTGGGGAGGGAGAGACAGACCCGGACACCGCCGGGCACCTCTTCTAGTTATAATTAATTTATTTGTGTATGTGTGTGTGTGCACTGGTGACACAGGTAACACCTGTGGCACAAGTGACACTACTAACACTTGTGACACTGGGAAACACCAGTGTCATACAAGGACTGTTCGCTGGCCACAGCTCACAATGTGTCACATCGATGGGGCCACTTTTGTGTGGGGTCCAGTTTTAGCTGGAACAATGCTTAAAGCTCAAGCTATATTCCTGTTTAATGTGTGTGTGTGTGTGTGTGTGTGTGTGTGTGTGTGTGTGTGTGTGTGTGTGTGTGTGTGTGTGTGTGTGTGTGTGTGTGAGCAAGCTTACCTGATAACAACACCAAATCTTGTCATACGCTCTCCAGATCCTCTCGTACTGTGACACATTTACGCCAGAGGCTGTGGCCTCCACTACATCCTCCAGCAACTAATCCTCTTTGTTCACGCTTCATAAGCGGAAGGAATACATCCTAGTGCCCGTCTGATCCATGTTTGTTTACAGTTAGAACAGTACCACTTACGGGCTATTCATGCCCGTGCCACCTCTTGGGTGGCTTAATCTTTATCAATCATCAATCAGTTAGCACATTTGTACTCTCGTTCTGTTCCTCCAGATAGTTTATCCTTCTCCATTTTGTCTATCCACGATTATTCGTAAATTTTTATATTGTCTCTTCTTTTCTCTTCTCACTCTTCCTTCTTCTAGTGATATTCAATTCCGTTACCTTTAAGGTACAGTCCTGTTAGTCTAGCTTTATATTCTGAGGTCTTTTAATCAATCCTCACTCTTGAGTTTCATAGTTCTGGTAATAGTTTTGTTGCAGATGCTTAGGACTTCTCAATTTTCATATGTTTTATAGGATTTGCGTTTCGTGCTGCAGCTGCATACTCTAGACGAGTCTAAAATAAGCGTTGTTTTAGCTACATATGAAACACGGCTCAATTTATTGAATATTTATCAAATTTAATTACTGAATGTGAAATAATGTACATGATATAATAATTATCTAACGTTCTGTCCTCCGTCAGGAGCGGCGGATGTTATGGAGGCGGTGGAAGCAGCGGTGGCAGCAGTGGCGAGTCATCTGACTCATCTTCGTGGGGCGGTGGCACCATCTCCTTTGTCGAGCCTACTTACCGCCCTTCGAATCTCTCCGTCGGCTCCATGGGACACCTTCATATCGACTACTCTTGGTCGTGGGACCGCCTGGACGACTTCGTGAGATCGACCAGCCCGCGGGGCGGCAGATCGAACTGCTACAGGTCTCCTCATGAGCCTCGATCTCCCCAAGGAATGACAGCGAATCGCATGGCTTATCCTGGGATGCTCCTGTCGCACTGGGAGACGTACTCGGATCCGGTGGCCGGCTAGCATCTGCCTAATCTAGGTTCCTTGCAAATCAGCTTATATCTACAGTCTATGTTAAACTGACATGTTCGCTGCAATGTGGTCCAACCATCATTGCAGTCAACCCATCATTGCAGAATTTTTGTCACTACCGTCACATGTATCGCTGTATTAACCACAACCCATCATCGGCTGCAGGAGCAGAGGTAGCACCACTCATCACGTCAAGTTACTAGTGATTTGTTTATATTCATTGGTTCCCTCGAGAGAAAGGGAGAGAGGTAGGGGAGAGGGAGGGGACGTGAGTAGGAGTGTGAGTGAGGTCTCACACACACACACACACACACACACACACACACACACACACACACACACACACACACACACACACACACACACACACACACACACACACACACACACACACACACACACACACACACACACACACACACACACACACACACACACACACAGGCGGGAGAGGCGGGACCAAAGAGCCAGAGCTCAACCCCCGCAAGCACAATTAGGTGAGTACACACACACGCACGCACACAATACACTATGCCTGAAATGTGTAGCCTAAAACACCCTTCCACTGGGATTATTAGAATGCCCCTGATTCGAAATAAAAGTGCATTTTGATCTGACATTATAAACATATATATATATGCTGTTTTTTCCAGAATGTAAGCTCTATAAGTAACAGACCAAAGCGCTTCCTGGGGACGCCAACTCCAGAAGAGAACAGAGCGTCTGAACCACCAAACAGCAAACTTAACTGTCATTAATTTACAAATTACTGAGCCTCTCTACCCAAGCACATTTAGGCCTAGCTTAAGGTAGTGTCATCGTATCACATGTGTTAGGTGATTAAGATGTATTGCTTACTGTATAATTATATGCAATTCTTTTTTAAATATTTTGTATTGATAATTGTGTAGTTTGTTTGTGTTTTAATGACAAAAACGTTTGGAAGGGGTTAGCTGAGGGGGGACTGTATGGGGGGGGAAAGGGGGGCGTAAGATGGCGTTGGAATTTGATAGTGTAAATTGTGATAGAATAGTGTGTATGTAAAACTGTCAAATAGGGGAGAGAGAAATACTGAGGGAGGAGAGATTAGTGGCCCCGTCCACTATGGGATTGTATATGTTATCTTTGTATGAGATCAATATACAATCTTTGTATGAGATCAATATACAATATGCTGTATATTGTTCTCATACGGAGAGCACAGGTGGGTTAATTGGTTGGTTCTTGCAGGTGCTCGGTACTCGCCTGGCTTAATGCTGGGTCCGGGTTCGCATCCCAAAATGCGGTTTTGTTTGGTTTCTAAGCATTTTATATATGATGTGGTTTTTAGAGAATTTGTGTAAAGTCTTATTGTCAATTTGTCTTATTGTATGAAAGAGAGAGAGAGAGAGAGAGAGAGAGAGAGAGAGAGAGAGAGAGAGAGAGAGAGAGAGAGAGAGAGAGAGAGAGAGAGAGAGAGAGAGAGAGAGAAAGAGAGAGAGAGAGAGAGAGAGAGAGAGAGAGAAAGACAGACAGATAGACAGAGGGGGGGAGAGATAGAAATGGGGGGGGAGAGCGAAGAGAAAAAGTTGTATTTTGAAAGCCTGTGATATTAAATAAATACTAAGATCTTTTATTTGTGCTCTTGTTTATTTTAATTTCCTGTAAGAATTGTCTGTACTGAGCCAACGTACATGAGTACTGGCAGACATGTACACACGCACACAGGAATACTGGCAGACATGTACACACGCACACAGGAATACTGGCAGACATGTACACACGCACACATGAGTACTGGCAGACATGTACACACGCACACAGGAATACTGGCAGACATGTACACACGCACACAGGAGTACTGGCAGACATGTACACACGCACACAGGAATACTGGCAGACATGTACACACGCACACATGAGTACTGGCAGACATGTACACACGCACACAGGAATACTGGCAGACATGTACACACGCACACATGAGTACTGGCAGACATGTACACACGCACACAGGAATACTGGCAGACATGTACACACGCACACAGGAATACTGGCAGACATGTACACACGCACACATGAGTACTGGCAGACATGTACACACGCACACAGGAATACTGGCAGACATGTACACACGCACACAGGAATACTGGCAGACATGTACACACGCACACAGGAGTACTGGCAGACATGTACACACGCACACAGGAGTACTGGCAGACATGTACACACGCACACATGAGTACTGGCAGACATGTACACACGCACACAGGAGTACTGGCAGACATGTACACACGCACACAGGAATACTGGCAGACATGTACACACGCACACAGGAGTACTGGCAGACATGTACACACGCACACAGGAGTACTGGCAGACATGTACACACGCACACAGGAGTACTGGCAGACATGTACACACGCACACAGGAATACTGGCAGACATGTACACACGCACACAGGAATACTGGCAGACATGTACACACGCACACATGAGTACTGGCAGACATGTACACACGCACACAGGAATACTGGCAGACATGTACACACGCACACATGAGTACTGGCAGACATGTACACACGCACACATGAGTACACGCAACCATATGTGCGCGTTGATGTGTACACGCAGACAAATGTACATATAGACATATGTACTTGTAAACACGAGTTCGTGTAAACATGTGTACTCACACATATATGTACACGTAGCCCCATGTACACGTAGCCCCATGAACACGTAGCCCCATGAACACGTAGCCCCATGAACACGTAGCCCCATGTACACGTAGTCCCATGTACACGTAGCCCCATGTACACGTAGCCCCATGTACACGTAGCCCCATGTACACGTAGCCCCATGTACACGTAGACTGGTGTATACTCAGACACATAGTTCGTCTACATCGGCAAGGTACTGACGGCTGGCCAGGGAGGAAACAAGACTCCTGTGCAGTGCTCAGAGCGAGACGCACCTCCCTCACCCGGGAAAATTGTGAGCATTTTCTCCCAGAAATCCGCTCCCATCCACTTAGGGTGGATGGTAGAGCGTCGGTCTTGCTTCATGCGAGTCGGTGTTCAATCCCTGACCGTCCACAAGTGGTTGGGCACAATTCCTTTCCTTCGTCCTATCCCAAATCCTTACCGTGATCCCTTCCCTTCTATATAGTCGTAATGGCTTGGCGCTTTCCCCTGAAAATTCCCTCCCTCCCAGAAATCCGTATGCTACTCATCTCATGCTCATTTTTATTCATCAAATATACCGCAATTGATTAATTCTGATGTTTTAATATCCTTGATTACGGTGAAATGATTCCTCTAATTAGTTCCATCATTTTATTCGATTAGATTTTGTTTTTTTCATGGTTTTTCCTGATTGGGATCGTTTCTTGGTGTCTAGTTTCAGTTCATTACAGACTTGACGTTACAGGAACCCGCTGTATCGCCTAAAAATATCGCTTACTGTAGATTGTTTTAATATATCTTTAATTGAGTTGATATGTCAGTCCGTATGTTTGTAGATAACCTGATAGGGGTACCCGATTGTGCCCGGGGGTACTTGTGTACTTGTACACATGTATCCGTGTACAACACAGTCACTGTACTTGTGACTGTGTTGATGAGTATGTTGAAGGTCACTGTAGTAGTGACTGGTGATGGGTATGTTATAGGTCACTTAGGCACAGCTCTCTGGAGATGGGGAGATTGGAGGTAAGGGAACAGGAGGAGAGATGATGCAAAGTTAGGGAAGGAGAGTAAGAGAAGAGACGGGAAAGTGAAAGTCAGTACAGGAGGGTGAGGAAGAATACCGTCAGTGAGAGAGTAGGAAAGCGCGGACGGGAGAGGTAATAAAAGTCTAAGTTTTCATAAAATACAATGAACTGAGTAGAAGGAAAAGCAGAGGTGAGAAAACAGTGCTTAGAATGAATAGTGGTAGAGAGATTAGGTAAAAGTTTGGGTGGCATGGGATTGATATGAATCTTGTTGTGTAATGGTAGTTTGTTAGTCTTAAGGAGGAAAGATAAGTTGTGAAGGGACACAGCGAAACGACAAGACAAAACCAACAGGAAAGAGAAAGTATAGAGGTGTGGCTGGTTGGTACTCAATTCACCCTCATCAACAAAAACTAAATCCTCGATTAATCCCGTCGCCAAACCCTTGTTTATGAATGAAAAACACTTTATACGCAACCCGTCCTCGACTAAAGTCCATTACAACCAGCGGCCGACCCCACAGACGCATTCATAATTGTTCACATGCTGTTCATTCAAAAAAGGATTTTTCTCAAATGTAAATTAATATTATGCATATATAGGCATAGGTTAGGTTAGGTGTTTAGGTTCTGTTGGCGATCATATATATTTGTAGTACGTGGGTGAAGCATTTACATCGTTGTAATTCGAACAAAATTCGTCAGTGAAGCACTTGTTTCGGAAGTGTTCGAACGAAATCAGTTGTGAGTCGTGTGTAAACTGTTTTTCAATCATAAACAGGGGGTTTGGCGGGTGGATGCAATCACTTTTGGGTCTTTGTCTGGAGGACGGGCTGTTGTACGACACCGGAGGACAGGCTCAACACCGACTCGAGGTCCCAACTGATAATGTTTGATTTTTTTTTCGAATAGTGCTTCGCTCGCATCCTTTGTTCGAGTCGCACCTCTGTAAATGTTTTACCGACGCGCGAGGCTTGAAGGGAATGGGTTGATCGTAGTAGGCTGGAAGTCCCCACAACAACAGGATCCGGGCTCCATTCCCCTGCAGAACGAGACGTTAATTCGGTGTTTCGTGATGCCTCTGCTCACCTAGAAGTAAGTGTGTACCTAGAAGTTAGGCAACTGTTGTGATTTGCATCCTGAGATTGACCAGTCGTTTGCCTAGGAAAACCGCAATAAATCTAACTGGCTTCCAGTTACCACCAATGGAAGTCCAAACCACAATAATCTTAAATCTGAAACTTTCAGTATCGTTATGTGCTGCTTACCAACTCTTGGTTGGTGTTGATGGCAGACGTTGTAGTCATTTTTTAAGGCTATTACTTCTTTAGCTATTAATATTGTTATCACTACTATTATTACTATTATTTACTCTATCTTCAGCAGTAATATCTTGTAGAGGTAATAGTTGAGTTGACGAACTGCGGGATCAGCTCACCAACGACGACTCGTAAGTGCAAGATCAACTTAAGCTTCAGTGTCCAAGTTAAGATTCACTCTAGTTCCAGTGTCCCAGTTAATTTATCCAATTTAACCTAGATTTACCTGAAGTCCACCATCTCTCTAGTGGCTTCGACTGAGATTGGAAGGCAGCGGCTTGTCAAAGGATCCCCCATTTTTCCTGATGATTTTTTTCCAACTGGACTTTGAACTGCAGTAATGTCCTGGCATTTACTGCTTCGGCGAGTAGGCGGTTACACGGGTTTATAGGTGGGTAAAAAAACTGCTGTGTATTTCTTTACCTCTCCGTGGGTAAAAAAAAAAATTATTTTTTTCTGCCTTACAATGTGGCTTGTTGAGCTTGAAACCGTTGTTCCGTTTTTTGTGTTAAATCTGACCCTTTCTGGAAGTGGTTTGGAATAGTCTCCCCCATTGTTCAGTATTTTAATAATTTCGATGAGATCAACCCTGTCAAGTCTGGTTTGCAGTGTTGGTACCCCTGTGGCCCTCAACCGTTCCTGGCATGAGACTCGACTTGGTTCTGGAATGATTTTTGTCGCTCTGTATTGAACTTTCTCCAAGTCAGATATGTCCTTCTGAAGATAACGTCTCCATGCTTGGATGCAGTAGTCCAAATGGGAACGCACCAGAGATTTGTATAGTTGAATAACCACTTTCTTTTCCGGGAAGTCAAAATTTAGTTTGACTTTTCCTGGGGTTTAGTTGGCTTTTTTTTACTACTGCTCCTACTTGTTGTGTAATTTTTAATGACTGGTGGATCCTAACTCTTAAGTCGTTTTCTCCATCAATCTGCTTCATGATAGTTTATTATTGTGATGTGAATTGTTGTTCCCTACATGATAACAATCACTCTGTTTTCAGTGACTCATTTAAGATTCACTTTGGCATCGGAGTCCCAGTTAAAACAAATGCCAGACTGTCAAGAGAATGAAGGGCGTATCCACCCAGTTCGTGCATATAATTGCCTATTGTTCCCCTCTCGCACAGAGCTGAGGCAGCGTGGAGGCAGGAACTGGTCGGTTATACACACAATGACGCCGGGTCGAGGTCTGTGAATGAACACAATAACAATTATGCTAACTAAAAGAGCACATTTTTGTGGGGGATAATGAACAAACGTGTCTATGCTGTAAGTTTATATTTGTCCACTTTTTTGTTTTTGTTTAAGGAAATTACTTTCAAAACTGTTGTGGTCCCAGGACCGAGCCTTGAAGAACCCCACTTGTTACACTCCTCCAGCTCGAAACTTCGGGTCTAACTGTGACTCTTTGTCTTCTGTCTTACAGGTACTCCCTTACATAATTCAGTGTCTTCCCAGTTATCCCACCTTGCTTCTTCACCTTCACCTACAACACCAGTCTTTCGTGAGGAGCAATTGTCAATGTTTTTTGACACTCTTGGACAATACCAAGGCTTCTTTTCCTATCTTATTTTAGTAAGCTTGTCATATAACTCGATCAATTTTGTCTGTCAGGACTTTTACCTTTTAAAGTCATGGTGCCCTTTGGTTACAAAACTTGTCCTCAGCAGGAGCTCCATTACATTCAGCCTCATTACTCTCTCCAGCACTTTGCACGGAATACTTGTCAGTGACAATGGTCTGTAATTTAGTTCCTCCTTTCTGTCCCTATAATTATTATTATTATTATTATTATTATTATTTATTGTTAGGACTGCGTTTGCCGTTTTCCGGATTTCTGGGAGATTTCCCGCTTCAAGTGTTTTGTTAGTGGTGGAGAGGGGGGGTCGTGGTTGTGAAGAGGGAGTCGTGGTTGTGGAGAAAGAGGTCGTGGATGAGGTCGTGGTGGTGAAGAGGGTGATGTTGGTGGTGGAGAGGGTGGTGGTGGATAGGGGGCCGGGATATTGGTGGTGGTGGAGAAGGTAGCTGTGGTGGTAGAGAGGGTAGTGGTGGTAGTGGTTTAGAGAGTGATGGTATTGATGGAGGCTGTACATATCTCTGGTAAGTACCTATCTAGAATTCTGTATCAAAGTCCATAATTGTCTTGGAAAATTGTCAAGGCAAAGAAAAGCGACAAAAGTCATCTCTCATACCAGGAAAGGTTGACGGCCACAACAACACTACAAACCAGACATAACAGAACTAATCTCATTGAAACCTTCATGACACAGAAAAAATTTGGAAGATATTAATGCAAACCACTTCTTTATAAGGTCAAATGTAACTCGCACAAGTGGCAACCGCTTGAGGTCAACGAGACAGAAAACAGGAGATGCTTTTTCATCAATAAAAATAATTAACCGATGTAACGTATATAACTGAGGGTGATAACATTCAAGGAGTATAGTGGTTGTTTATGTTGGTTTAATACAGTCATGGTTACAGCAGTTGGATGACGTGTCGTGATAGGTCGAGATGAAGATGTTCGTTACGTGGCGCTGACGGAGTCAGGTATGACGTATCGCTGACGGTGGCCGGAGAAGAGGAGGATGGTGGGAGGCCTGGAGCCGTGAGCAGAGAACGTGAGCGAGGCCGGTGGTAGAGAGTTCGAACGAGGGCGAGTGCGTCGAGCTCGAACGAGGGCGAGTGCGTCGAGCTCGAACGAGGGCGAGAGCGTCGAGCTCGAACGAGGGCGAGTGCGGCGAGCTCGAACGAGGGCGAGTGCGTCGAGCTCGAACGAGGGCGAGTGCGTCGAGCTCGAACGAGGGCGAGTGCGTCGAGCTCGAACGAGGGCGAGTGCGTCGAGCTCGAACGAGGGCGAGTGCGTCGAGCTCGAACGAGGGCGAGTGCGTCGAGCTCGAACGAGGGCGAGTGCGTCGAGCTCGAACGAGGGCGAGTGCGTCGAGCTCGAACGAGGGCGAGTGCGTCGAGCTCGAACGAGGGCGAGTGCGTCGAGCTCGAACGAGGGCGAGTGCGTCGAGCTCGAACGAGGGCGAGTGCGTCGAGCTCGAACGAGGGCGAGTGCGTCGAGCTCGAACGAGGGCGAGTGCGTCGAGCTCGAACGAGGGCGAGTGCGTCGAGCTCGAACGAGGGCGAGTGCGTCGAGCTCGAACGAGGGCGAGTGCGTCGAGCTCGAACGAGGGCGAGTGCGTCGAGCTCGAACGAGGGCGAGTGCGTCGAGCTCGAACGAGGGCGAGTGCGTCGAGCTCGAACGAGGGCGAGTGCGTCGAGCTCGAACGAGGGCGAGTGCGTCGAGCTCGAACGAGGGCGAGTGCGTCGAGCTCGAACGAGGGCGAGTGCGTCGAGCTCGAACGAGGGCGAGTGCGTCGAGCTCGAACGAGGGCGAGTGCGTCGAGCTCGAACGAGGGCGAGTGCGTCGAGCTCGAACGAGGGCGAGTGCGTCGAGCTCGAACGAGGGCGAGTGCGTCGAGCTCGAACGAGGGCGAGTGCGTCGAGCTCGAACGAGGGCGAGTGCGTCGAGCTCGAACGAGGGCGAGTGCGTCGAGCTCGAACGAGGGCGAGTGCGTCGAGCTCGAACGAGGGCGAGTGCGTCGAGCTCGAACGAGGGCGAGTGCGTCGAGCTCGAAGGAGGGCGAGTGCGTCGAGCTCGAAGGAGGGCGAGTGCGTCGAGCTCGAAGGAGGGCGAGTGCGTAGAGCTCGAAGGAGGGCGAGTGCGTCGAGCTCGAAGGAGGGCGAGTGCGTAGAGCTCGAACGAGGGCGAGTGCGTAGAGCTCGAACGAGGGCGAGTGCGTAGAGCTCGAACGAGGGCGAGTGCGTAGAGCTCGAACGAGGGCGAGTGCGTAGAGCTCGAACGAGGGTGGGATCGGAAAGCTTGAATACGGTGTAAGAGTGGGTAGCTCGAACGAGGCCGGAATTATCTGTCTGCTCTGTAGCGCCTTGTGTGAGTAGGAACTAGACTCGTCGAGTATTGCATCGTATGCTGACGAGTGTCGCAGGCGTTGATGAAGATAAACGGTATGCCCAAAGGGTTCGTAATTGAATCAATATTGGATTTAAACTGACTGCTGCGATTGATTGATGAAGATTAAGCCACCCAAGAGGTGGCACGGGCATTTAAATGGTAAATTGGCTTTCCTAAGCGATGCCATTAAATAGTAGCGAATATGATTGCAAGTGTCATTAGTAATTATGGTGGTAAATAGCTGTCACGTTTGAGATAATTAATGTAGTATGCTACACCCATATAGAATAATCTACCCGCCAAAGTCTTTAATGCCAAGGCATTGCATGCACTAGCTCTATCAATAAATCTAACATTATGTTTGTAACTCCTTTTCAATGTATGTACGTACCTTTACCTGAATACACATTTTATATGAAACCCAAAATTGTCGTAGGGTACCTTAGGTGCATCATAGAAAACGAATAATAATTTAGAAAATGTGGACGGATAAAATATTGTTTCAATATTGTTTCGTATGATGATGCAAATTAAACAAAATATAGCATACATATTACTGAAGCATAGCCGTTTTCAGGGCCCTAAAGTGCTTTGAATTTGTCGCAAAATATTAATCGCTCTCTCACCCGGAGACGGAAAGGATCGATAGAGCTATAAATCCTTTTTACATTACGGTTAATTAAAGTTTACTTAGAAAAAAAATATAAGATAGATAGATAAATATTCACATTTATTCTTTTAATTACTTGAATATTATATTTCCAAAATATCCACTTCCTAAGACATGTAAAATATTTTATAGAATTGACCTAAGTTTTGCAACCCAGATATAAGGTTGTAGCGTTTGTTATTGACAGTTCAGAAGCTGTGTTGGACACCATGGGGGCTTCAGCGATTCCTGTCATTTTAATGACGCTCTTTTGGGGTCTGGTGGGCATTGTCCTGCCCATCATCCTCCCCAAAGGACCAAACAGAAGGTAAATGCAACACATTGATGTGATTTTTGTTTACGAAATCATTGAATCAAAATTTCCTAGTTATTTAATAATATTTTCATTTTTACGTAGGCTTATAAATGTCTAGAGAAATTGGTGTTGATTATAGAATTAATTGCATGTTTGTCCTAGTTGGCATTCTGATTACTTAGGCTGTTGCTCCTTGAAGATAGAAGAGGACATAATGGTCTTGGTTAATAAAGAAAACTTTAATGTAGTCATTCATTATTTATTTGCCTGTATGCCAACTACAATTTCCCGTAGCCTAGAGCATTTTTTGGGCCCTCTCTCAGCACCACTACAACATAAATACATCTAATTTATAGTTACAGAATTGTCTGCACAATGTTTGCCTGATAAACCTGTTTGTCGACATCTTGTGTGGTAGATAGAAACGCTCATCATATATATTTACTTGTGCAATAAATGTGAAAAATATTTATAAAACTTTGAATAATTATATAAAAAGGTTTGTAATGAATATGTTCTGAAAGATTAGAATAGACAAATTTAGTATACAGTACAGGGAACTTGGAGCAAAGTTTGAGTTTCTACATTGTACTATGCCATCTTCCATTTGCAATTATGCTGTATAAAGTAAACTTGTCTACACTCATTAATGATTTAAAGGAGAGTCAGTTTTATTTGTCATTTCTTCTTGTGGCACAGCAGGCATTGCAGAGCATTTATATGATGCACAAATGTAATCCAAACCATTTAGTAAAGCACATGAACATTGAAAATCTGTACTATCCTAGACATAGGTCTACTGATCTTGGCTCATGTTCAGTGAAGTTTTATATAAAATTCATACCTTCATGGATAGTCAATTTTGCAACAACCAAAGTTATGAAGAGAAAAGGGTCAACCATAACTTTGCTTTAACTCCATATACTTTGCAAAGCATTACACTTGAGCCTTCATGTTTTACTAATTCATGCTGAGAGTGGTAATAAAGCATTGTACTTAAATATATGGTTGGTCTTGTTTTCATTTCAGTTTGATGCAGTGTATCCTGATCATTACAGCCATATCTTGCTGGTTATTGTAAGTCAATGTGCATTTGTTCTTTGTGAAAATAAATGACATACTGTATATAATATTTTGGTAGCAGACTTTCTTGTAAACATATGTTGTTGAATATGACCAAAAAGGTAAGATTAATAATTCTAACACAAATCTTCTCAATATTTCTTATGTTTTTCTTCACTGTCAAGGGCAATTGAAATATCAACTCTCCAAAATTAATTTTTATTTTTGGTCTGACGCGACGCCTAGAAGCATTTCGTAAGGGCTTCTTACATTCTCAAAGACTTGTTTACACTTAACTCTACACTTATGATACACTTGATCTTGAGGCTTAGGCTGAACAACCAAACTGGTAGTTTTGAATGGCCTACAGCCAATAGATCCAATTTTGATGAGTTCCTGGGTGGAGCTTGCAAAGATCAGCACCCTAGCACTTGGAAAGCCCTTCTTTGACTTGTTTTAGGCCATGTCTCTCAGCCTGGGTTCTCCTCTTCGTTGTAGTGCCTGCCACCTCTCCCCCTCCTCCTTGGTAAGTTTCATTTTTGCTCTCTGGTTAATTAGCTTCAGAGAGCCATCAAGGGATTCCATTCAGAAACTCCAACATTGAATGCATTTAAATGCCTCTGTCTGGAGGAGCCTCGTTGGATTTTTGTCCCCCCCCCCCCCTTACCCTGTAAGTTCAACAGTTTATCATTGAGTTGTTCATGATCTCCAGAACTGAGCAGGGAAACCAGCTTGAGGGCTGGGGCTGGTCTGCCTGGTGATAGTAATTGGTACTGAGGAGTTTCAAGCTAGTTTGAGCGAATCTCTCTTTTTTTCTGTGTGTGTATGTGAATGGTGTGCATTGTTGTTTGGCAGTTTTGAGGATTTGTTTCCTGTGAACCCCTTCGTTATTAAGTCTTTACCGACTTTCTGGATGCTCTCCTGGTGGAGTGGTGAATTGTCACTCGTTCCTTCTGCCTCTGTGAGAGGAGGCCAGGTTCTAGCGCTAGTTCCCTGTACGCCAAACAAAGCTTCCTCAACAGATGTGACCTTTTAGTATCAAGCAATCGTAACAAGCATCAGGGAGTCATTGGGGCTCTACCATAAAGACTAATCTCATTACATTCAATGCTGGGTTTTTAAAATATTAAACGTGTCTCGTCAGAGTAGACTCGGTCCTATTTTTTGGTAATGCTGAGTGTGTGGAGTTTATGCAAGACCTGATGTATGTAGGTTGGAAAATCTTAAACATGCAAGGTGGATACTTTCCAAGTCATCACTCAACTATAATAGTTTATGTAGAATGTTAGTGCCATCTTTCTTAAGATATTGTGAAAGTGTCTTAATATTCATGTACAGTATATTAATCCAGCGTCAGCAGGTAACGTAACTCTGGATTATAGTCCCGAGGTACTCGGTACACGATTCCAACATAAGATGTCTCCATTCTTATTACATTATAATGTAGAAGAATATTGCAATATCTATAAAATATTGCAAAGGATGGTAGGTACTGTGATATACATGTTAAATGATATACGGTACATGTTAATTTTGGTGAATCTCCAATAAAAGGGGTGAAACAGTATTGAAAACCTGTGAGGATCAATTGCACATGGTGATTTGGGCATCGTGAAGGTTAATTTGTTTAAGTGGCCGAGAAGCGGTACCCTTACACAAGGTTTAAAAATGTTGCTCTCTCCAGATATCTTTTGTGTTTAACCTAATATTAAAGTTGTCATAAATTTTGCAAAATGTCAATACACTTTTTTTCCTCTTTTATGGTATGTTGTTAATTAAGAAGGATTTGTGGTCTCTTGGAATGGGTATGGGGTGCATAATAAACAAAGAAATTGAATTGAGTAAGCTGCTCTCAAAGAAATGTCATATTCCTAAAGCTGTATTGGCTGCATTCTTCAGTCTTGCAAGTAACCAACCTATCTCAAAAAGTCAGTAAACAGTATTTCAATTTATAAATATAAGTTAAAGTATTATGAGCAGCTTTGAGACTATAGGACCTAGGCCTAGTTTTTTGTCCTTTCTGCAATTGTGTGTTCAGCTTCATTTTACTCTATAATGTCTTTCAGCTGGTTGTGTTGTTACATGCACCAAATGAACCCACTTATTGGACCTTCACTTCATAACACTACTATCATTGCTCTAAATGAATTTTGGGTAAGTCATCAGTCCTGCATTTTTTGGTTTTCTTAATTACAAAAGGAAGACATTTTTGTGTTTTGGCTTTTTCTAGTAATACATTTGTTTATTTAATTTTATGCTCAGTTTGTGTCTCTTAGTGTTTCAGTCAAGTAGGGATTAAGCAATTAAGTTTCTTTTAACATTCCACCAGTGAAGTTACTAATCACTGAAGGTTTTTTTTTAGGGCTTTGCCAACGCTTTCTTCTTGCATTAAACTGTGAATGTCTATTTTCCCATTGGCCCTTGTCTGAATGAATTATTAAATTCACTTATGCTTCCTAGTTCCATAACACAGTCTAATATTCTATTAAAGATTATTTTTTGGCACTGAGTTAAGTGCTTATTTCTAGTCTTTACTCCTAGCATCTATCAAAAGACGTCCATTTATTTCCAGCATCTGTTTAGCTGATTGTAAATTTAGACATAAATTTAGAGCCAGAGAAATCGGACAATATTTACAGAATTCAGCATCTTAACCTAGGAGGTCAGAAGTTAGTCAATATGGGATTTTCTGCAATATGATATATATGGAAGTGCATTTTTTTCTTGTATAAAGTCGACACATGGTGCATTTGACTTGAGTTTTAGTAAAGCTGTTAGCAAAGTGGTGGTCAGAATACCCCTGAATCCGAGGCGTATTCAGGCCACCAAAACTTCACATTGCCGATTTCTTGCTATGTTAGTTTCATATATAAATGTCTTCCTTGAATACCCTTAAGGTATTTATCATAATATTTAAAGCTACAGCTTTCAGGTCTGTGAATTTGTTATGTCTGTAAAATCTGCAAACATCTGTTTAAGTATTCTCTGCCATTGACAGGGAAGTATCTTGACTGTGCTTTTATATTATCCTGAAAAGTGGGTTCCTGGTAACTATATGCTCAGGTTTCCTCTTTATTGCAGCAACGTGTTAAAACATTCTTAAAGTTCATATCCATCTGGCAGATGTAAAGATCATTGGCTGCCAGGAGCTCTTCTCCAAGGTTCAGGCATAGTGGGTTTGTATGGAAAAGTTGAGCATATTGACCGGCTACAAGTCATCATCTGCAGCTCAGCCCAACTCTCTTGTGGTTTTCTTTGTGATTCACTTGTCAACTTCTTTGCTGCTCATTTCTTTTGCAGATGGGAGATGTTGGGTTCAAGGATTCTTCTTAAAAGCACAGTCACTCTATTCTCATTTTTCCCTGTGTAGTGTGGCACCACTGTATTCTTTTAGACTCCTTGGCAGGGTAGAGGCTCTGGTGCACTTATTTTTGAAGTGAGTAGTTTCTTTGTGACCCATTTTGGTGGACAGGCTGTGCCCAATAAATGGGGGTTGTATATTGCCATTTAATCTGCCCTCTTGTGTTGGTCTCCAGTGACAGTGTGGTGGGAGATATCTGCAGGCTTTTTAGCAAGTTTGTGCATGCATGGGCTTCGAGTATGGTGTCTTGGAGTCTTTCCTGGTATGTAGTTGTTCCAGTTTTTCCCCATGCCTTTCCCTGCCATGGCCTTGTGCCCTAATAGCATTATGTAATTACGTTTTAAAGGCTCCAGATCCCCAATTCAGCTTATTGCTCAATAAGTACTATTTTTACTGCCTGTTGTCTAATGTTGATTATAAAGGGTAAGGAAAACACTGCTGGTAATAATTTTTATGGTTCATTTAAAAGTGATTAATTACAAATCAATGGGTGATACATGTTACTTTATGCCAGCAAATCCAATATACAAGAACTATTGGGTAAAGCACACAAACTTAATAACAATATGCAACAGTTTATCAATCACCCTGGTAAAACATATAAAAGGAATAACAGTAAACCTAAGTAACCTTAATTAGTGAACTTGTGTGCCTTTACCCAAGATATTAACAATGCCTAAATGAATAATAATTTCTCCCAAAACTATATACACTAGAGCTAGACATGAATACCTATGATATGTTAGTTAGTTTAGTTCATTTATTATGCACCCCATACCCATCTTGTGGGGCAGTAGTGGAAAGGGTTACAGAGGCACATAATGGGCTCAGGGACTGAACCCCACAATTCATTTAGCTAAGCAAGTTACAATCTTGATGAGCTAGTTACAAAATTCAATATAAGTCGTCACATCAACTATGAATACCTAATACCTAATAAGACACAGCATTAACAAGGGTATTAAAGTGGTTATTGCTGCAAACCTCCAAGTGCCTCTGTCCTAGTCAATTCAAACACCATTGCCCTCAACTAGAACAAACCACTGGCTCACTCCTCCCACTAATTACCAGTTACTCAATCAGCCATCCAGTATAAATATAGACTTTGTCTAATCTCCTGGTAGTCCTCCTAGCTGTTCAGTCTCCTATAGTTTTATAATCAATAATCTATCACAAACACATTCAAATAATACATATTTGTAATCCACAAGTAAGCTTGACATGACACCTTCAGTTGGGGAGGGGTAGTGTTGAGGATTTTCTTAAAACTGTTGTACAGTATTGTAGGAGTATCTGGCATTCACTTTTTTTCAGAAATAATCAAGAGGAGGAGGATGGTCTGCAGTTCCCGAGGAGCGCTACTTGAAAATTACTAAGAATCCAAAAGGTTTTGTTTTAACAGGACTTGATACAGTATTTATATGAAACTTTAGTGGAGATTTTATTCATTGTTGTGTTTGTATTAGGATTTTTGCTCTGTATACAGTATTTAAGATTCTGTTATGAATAGACAAACATTTAGTAAATGAAGTTTCTGGAAATAGCATATTATTAGAAGAAAATTTCTTCTGTGAATGTAGCAAATTTTGAAGAAAACGACATTTATTTAAAATATGAGCTGTAAAAAATCCAAGATTGAATGTGCCACACCTTATTTGGGCATTATGAAATATTATAAATGTTAAATTAATAAGTTTTAGTGAATTATTTTTTTTTTTAAATACTGAACAGTGCTGGTTCAATTATCCAGATTACAGTATTTTCTTAATGTGTTCCAGTGATATAACATTGTTGTGGGACATTACATTAACTGGATAAAAAAAAATAATGTGTTCAACTGTTGAACTAAATTCTGGATAATTGAGATATCGCTATACTGTACTGGTTACTGAATACAGTATCTCAACCGTTTGGTGTTAATAAAAGGTCTATCTTAACAGGGGAAGAGATTTATTCTGAACACTATAAAAACTGACTACTGAGTAATACTGAGTCTTGAACATTCAGATTTTTTATGTTTTACTGTACAGTACTGTACCTTTTTGAGACAAGTGACTATATAATTTGGTTACTTCATAAGCTCTTACAGATATTGTTACTTTATTGAACTTGTTTAACTAATTTTGATAATGTGAGTCATACAGGATTGCAGGGTCAGTGTTTAACATACTTAATATTTATTGGTGTGATATTGTGTAGGTTATTATTGTACTGTAAACATCTGACGGGGGTGTATATGCTAGCATTCCAGTTCTCCCTTCTCTTGAAATCAAAATCCATTTTAGGCATAAAAAAAATGGCATTTGAAATACTGTACTACCCTGGTTCAAACAGTGTATGAAGACAATATCCTTAGAAGTACTGGTGCAATTAAAGTGTGTGTTTACCGTCATAACAATAATTAATAAGAGAGAGTATCGTCATCCATGTCATTGACAAATTAAAGAACCCTTGCTGTTTCCTTTTTTTTGGACTTTCCTGCTTTAGTAGTTTTTACATTTTTTGATTGTCAGGAAAGTTTAATATCTACCCATAACATTGGAGTGAGGGTGTCTTGAGTTTCAGAAAATAGTACAGTAATAGATTCGATGTAAAGAGGCTAGAGATAGATTCTGTAACTCTGTACTGTATCTTGACATTATACACTTATGTTAGTGCAAAGCAGATCAAAAGCGGGTACTGCCATCTGAAGGTCTTAATATTGACTTGGTGTTTCATGTATTTTATAAATTATATAGTAAAAGCATGCACTGAAATTAATGTAGTTACTTTCAAGATAATTTGTATTTTGGCAATTATAAAATACCATTAGAATGTATTATAACAAAACGTTTATCTTAATTATCCATAAACTGTTGTTATTTTATTCCAATGTTGTGGAATCTCTTCAATTCCTAACATTTCAGTGCCATTGAATGCTATCAATAATAACACTGAAGCACAGATGCTCTCGAATCTCACGACAAAAGACCTTTTTTAATGCCAAAGAATATTTTGTATAAAGCATTAATTATTGCAAGATTAAAAATACATGTAATGAAATATGATATCTGGACCTCGGTCTTAACTAAGGCAGTTAACTCAAAATGGTAGCTATTCATGTTTCATTATTTTCATTCTGTTAAGACATGAATTTTGTAAATGAACTACTAACTTCTGTGCAGTCTGGGTCACTTGATGCCTTGGTGGGCACAAAACATTTCTAGTCCTTTCTATTGGGTCTTTGTAGGCACTTGACATTCCTTCATTCCGATATCACATTGTATCCCTGCATGGTGGCCATGTATTGTCTGATTCATTCTATCATTGCAATGGTGCATCATGTATGATGATGGGAAAATTTGATATTGAAGTCTTATCCTGTGTTAAGCAACAAAAGATGAATATTCTGTAAAAAGTATAATTGATTTAAATTACTTTTTATGCCTTATTGAATCTTGTTTGTGCATTGGATGAAATGCCTACAACAAATTATGGATATTTTGCAGTTTTAAGTAGTTTATCCATCCTTTGGACATAATATCTCAACATTTTGGATAGGTAATGTTGTCTTGATATATTTAACAGGTTAATATCACCTTTGATAGGTAAAATGATGTATAATAAGCAAATGACGATTATATAAAATACTTTTGCTCCATACTGCAGTTTAATCGTTCATCTTTCAAAACCATTATAGCAGAGGAAAAATCCTGCATAATTTTAAAGGCTTTTTTTATTCATAGACCTTTGAATTAAAAAATGAAATACCTTTTATGCATTTATACAAGACATTATTTTTTGTTAGACTGTTGAGTGGTTATGTTTGTTATCCTGTTAATGTGGGTAGAGCTTAGAACAAATGTGATTATTTTAACAGGATTGACAGCCTAGTCATTGAAGTCACTGTCAAATATATAGCTGTCATACACATTTTGTTGGTTTTTATATTCCTTTATTATATGGTTTTTATTAATGCATGCTGGATGTACAGTAGTTCTCATTTATTAATGTAAATCACACTACAGGTATAGATTCAAGTAAGTGATTATAATATACAGACTATTATATTTTAAGTTAACAGGAGTGTTGCGCCGAGTGTTCCGGTTGATTAGAGCACGTCCGGAAACACTCGGCGCATATGTTCGAACCCTCATAAAGGCTCTTGTGGCTTTGTTCTATAAAATACCATTGTCATATATGTTTTACAGGATACTGCAATGGTTTGTTTTTCCATGGTCTAGGACAGGAAACTTAGGCTTATCGATTTGCCCCAAGGCCAGGAACTGGCTATTTCCCACTATGTAACAGAATATTTAACTCGAGTATCTATATACCTTACTACTAAGAGAACAATCATACACAGCTGGTGATACTGTATTTCGTTTGTGTCCATATTAGCGGAATGTCCACCCCCTGCCCGAAATGCTACTCGTACTAGTGACAGTACAAGAATGTAACAACTCTTGTATATATATATATATATATATATATTATATATATATATATATATATATATATATACATATATATAAAAATAAAAAAAAGTTAACTCCATACCCATCCTGTGGGCGGTAGTAGACTATATACCCATCCTGTCGATGGTAGTTAACCATATACCCATTCCGTGGACGGAACTGGACCCTATACTCATGCTGTGGGCGGCAATGAAGGCCATACCCATCCTGTGGGCGGTAGTAGACACAATTTTCATCTTGTGGGTGATTGTGGACCCCATACCCATTCTGTGGTAAAGGTTAATGTTGGCGGTATAGTGGACGCCTCACACATCCTTTGGACGGAAGTGGAACATATACCCATTTAGTGGGAAGTAGTGGACCCCTTACTTATCCTGTAGATGATAGTGGTCCCCAAATCCATCCTGCAGGCGGTAGTGGACGACATACACGTCCTGTGTGTACCGTATACCCATCCACCCATCCTGTAGGCGGTAGTGGACGCCATACCTATCCTATGGGTAATTATTGGGTCCAGACCCATCCTACAAGTGGTATGGACCCCTTACCCACCTAACAGGTGGTAGTGGACCCTATACCCATCCTACAGTAGGTAGACACTATGTCATCCTGTTTGCAGTAGTTTACCCCATAGACATTCAACGTAACATCATTTTCTGTTATAGTTTCTACAATACATTCTTTAAATATTTTTAAAGCACAAACTAGTGTATATAATGTTGATTGGTGAAGCACTATTATTCTATGTAATTATAGTGCTTATTGTAATTTACTAAGAACAACTAATATTTCTCAAAACAAAACTACGAGCCTTCAATAGGATGTAGCTGATCTGTAAGAGCATGGACAATAGCAGGTAAATTTCACAACCCCTGTGGGACCTGAAAATTACAATTTTCATTATAATTGAACCAATCACGACTATTCTGCTGTCTACGGCGATGGACGGGTACTGTGAGACGTAAATTGGTACGTGAGGAAGAGTTTGGGCCTTGGAAAAAATGTAACTGGGAATATACCACATATGTACTAATTCATATTCAACATATTGACTAAGCATTAAGTCATATATGTGCTGAAATGTGCGAGAGCGGGTTGCACACACACACACACACACACATACACGCAAGAACTAACTCAAAACATATGAAGGAATGAAAAAGTGTCTTGTGGAAAAAATAAGGAACTAGACAATATCTTGGCAACGGAGTTAGGAATGATTTACTGTAGGGAGGGCGAGTCTGAGACAAGGAGTGAGGCGCACAGGACAAGGAGGGAGAAAACCACAGACGGGATGGTTTTCACTAGAATATGTTAATGATTCGGGTATCGAAAGATCGCCATGAAAGCAGTTAAGGATGTCAAGATTTCAAAGATGAATGAGTTAATGACGAATAGACAAGAGTAAAGTTTGGGGATGACCAGATGGCTGAGACTTGGAATAATGAAACTTCTGGAGATCTTGGAATCCCTCGGGTCTTAAATAAAGACAATGGTGCTTGCATTAGCCATGAGGTGTTGAGACTTCCACAAGCAATAAAGTATCTAAATCTTCCAATATAATCGACCCCACGAAAGGCACCATGCAAAAAGATAATTTTTAGTAATTATCAAGAGCATACAAGAGGATATCAGCACAGAGAAGCTTATGGCTTGCATTATATAAAAAAAGCATAATTGATGACAACTTGCGGAGATCTGAAAGCTTTTGCAATTGAAAAAAATATAAGCAAAGAACTCCTAAATTCTCTGGGGATTTTTCCTCATAAACACAGACTTTGGCGTGTCCTTACTATATCTTAAATCAAAGTAATTTAATGATGTGTATCTTCAGTGAGTCTTATGGAAAGAAGCATTTTTACTCTTGTGGAAAGTCAGATAAAGAAGCTAAATTAAACAGGTCAAAGGGAAAACACAGACAAGAGGAATGGAACCAGTCAAACATGGGGAATTCATAATATATTCAAAGACTACCATATTTAATAGGGAAAAGATGGGAGAATAAGATTTCGTATTAGTGGGTTCCATGGAGGTAAGAGCTCGGAATTAGTGCAGAGTACGATTGACTGTGCCACTTATAAACGCAACTAAATAAAACCGAAGGAAAACAGAAGAAAATAGAAATAGTGGAGGAGAATGGGGGGGGGGGAGAACATAAACAGCTAGAAATGTTTACGACAATCAGAAAAGAAATAGAAAAAACTTAAAGCTAAAGAACTGAATTTCTACGTAGCCATATGAGAACCGTCTTGCACAGTCCATCAGGATATACAGGAGTGCGAGGTTTGCTGGAAAATCACCGAGAAATGCAAGAAGTGAGTATCCAGGAAATACTCGAAATCGAACCTGAACCGAAGAGAATGAAAGATTTGGCCACATAGTTTTACTTTCCCGGTCGTCTCCTCCATACCCTTCACCAGTCTGTGGCAACCCGTCCGTCAGGCTGTGCTCGTCTAAGCTGCTGTCGACCCCAAAGACACATTCGTCAATTTTGCACGTGATGTTCATTCAAAATAGGAATTTTCTGAAATATAAATTAATATTATATATTAGAAGATTTTTCATATTTAGTTGTTGGTTAGGTTCGGTATTCAGGTTCAGTTGGGAATTATTAGTATCTGAAGTACGTGGGGCAAAGCATTTATCAGAGTTGCAGTTCGAGCAGAGGTCGCCAGTGAAACACCGTTCGAGAAATGTTCGAACGTAATTTGTTGAGAGTCGTGTGTAAACCGTTTTCATTCATAAACAAGGGGTTTGGCAGCTGGATTAACGAGCAGCTTCGTCCTCATAAACCAATGTTCATGAGGACGAGGTGATGCTATTTTTTTCTCGAATATATTTCGCCTAATGGTTTAAACAATCCGTCCTCATCAAATCCCCTGCTAATGAATGCAAAATGGTTTACACCCGACTCGCAACTAATGATATTCGAGCACTTCTCGAACAGTGTTTCGCTGACGACCTCTGTTCGAACTAACTCTGTAAATGCTTCACCTACGTACTTTAAATACAAATAATCGCCAACAGAACCTAAACACCTAACCTAACTATACACAGAACTTTAGTATATATAATAATATGTTTAAATATGAGTTTAAATAATAAGTTTATTATAAAAATATAATAAACTTATTTTGAATGAACAATACATACAAATTTATGAATGCGTTTTGGAAGGTGGCTGCTGCTTTCACGAGCCTGACCTGAGGACAGGTTGGGTTTCAGACAAGACAATGGATCTTTAGTATCTGTGTTGAAGGTTTCCCTGTCTTAGGGAATAATGTGATTATTGCATTTCTGAAATAGGCGAGGAACCGTCCGGAAGTCAGAACTGTATCATATCTTCGAGTATACAAATGGACAGCTCGTAATGGCAAGTTTGTTGTTACCAGTTCGATCTGAAACAGGAATTTTGCTCATTCCAGGTGAGTGGAATTAGCTAATATGGTGAGGGACTTATTGCCCATGTTGTTTAGGTAATTGATTACGATGATAGAATAGTCGAAGCTCTTTTTTTATTATTTTTTACTAAATTAGTGATCACACTTTCATTGTTGGTATAAAAAGTCATTTGCCTTTTGTGTTTGATAATATAGATTTATAATAATCATGTTTACCAAAACTGAAATATGTTCGTTGACTTTCTGCCCCATCACCTTTCCTACCTATACTGCCTCTTCCCCTCCTCCGTCCCAACCTCTTGGGCTGGACGGTAGAGCGACGGCCTCGCTTCATGCAGGTCGGCTTAGGAACAGGTGTCATTTAAGCCTTTAGAGCTTGAATTGTTGTGAGAGTTCTGTGACGACATTAATTAAGGAAGAGAGAGAGTGAGAGACAGACACACAGAGACATTGAAATATTGAGATAGAGAAACTGAGATATACAGAGACAGAGAGGCAAAAATACTCAGGTATATAAACATAAACAGATAAAGAGAGAAGATGTAGTTACAAAGATACAGATAAAGATAAAGATAGGAAAATATGAGAAAGTAAAGAGTAGTGGCCTGTGTCTCTCCCATCTTCCTATCTGACTGTCGAAGGTAAGGGTGTAGGAGAGTGAGGGTGGTCTCAGAGCCGCCAAGGAGGAGGAGGAGGAGGAGGGGCTAAAGTTGGGGATAGGGGGGGGGGAGGGGATGAGGAGAGAGAGGTGGCAACAGCAACATCAACATGGGCACAATCCCCACACTTATGGAGCGCTGTCGGACACTTTGCAAAACACGCCCGTGTCTGGGGTTGCTAGATCAATGCAGAGGGAGAGATGCCACATCCCCCCCCCCGCCACTTGCAACCCGCCTCCACCACTTCTCCATTTCTGCAATATTGTAGCCCCCATACGGTGGGTGCAACGAGCCGTTTGCTTGTTTGTTTGTTTGTTTGTTTGTTAGCTTTGTGTGTCTGCCGGTGTGGCGTTATTGAATGCTGGAGTGTTTGTTTGTGTGGTATTTTAGCTTTAC